CAATGTGATCACGATACCTTTAGAATTATCATCAGCCAACACTAAAAGCAACAAGCAACAAGGCTTCTTCACAAAATTTAACTCTCAATTTAACAAAAGGCTCTATGTAAAAATTTTATCATCATATACTATTTATGACTAATACAAGTATAAGGATGGGAGATATCATAAAATAATTTCCATTATCCCCGGGAATCCTAAAACACCAAGGACCGCATGAAAATACATCATTTTTTTAAAAAGATACAAAAAAAAAGATACATAAAAGTTCAGATCACAGTTCCCACATATTTCATTATTTTCTAACACCATAACATAGATCGTATTTTTCTTCTCTGTACATTTTCTCAGTCTTCTCATTCTTAACCTAGTGCTATCAGGCCAATATCCCAGTGCTTTCTAAGGTTTATTGAATGACATGCTAAATTTCTCACACTTAGGACTTCTCAATCCTAAAACTAATATGAACTGTGATTCCCCAAAGTGTCAAGAAACATGATTATTATGTGGACATAGTATTTTCCTAGGTAGCTGACCAAATTTGTATTTGCTGTAGTGGCACTGATTAAACGAGAGTCTGGCCTTTCCTGTTTCATGAGAACAGACTGCACAATTCTCCAGTCATTTTTCTTATAAACGAATACAGGTCTTAAAGATTTTAAGGATCGATGCAGAACAATTGTCACTACCGGAGAAACAACAGTTTAATACTCTGCTTGCATTCTAAAAGTTTGACATACATTATGATGCTGTATTTTGAGTAAAATACTAATAATACAGGCTTACAATGTCTTTATGTTCTTTAATACAGAAATTGTACATCATGTTACTTCCTGAACCTCACGTATAAGAACGTATAGACGTACAATCCCTTTTAAATAGTGTTTCCTCTAATTTTTTTCTTAGTAAAAACAAATCTGTGGAAAGGTTTTCTTTGATAGTATTTAATCTTAAAAATCCCTACACTATCTTACAGATCCTAAAATACAGAACACAAAATGTAAACAATAAAAACGCTTAAAACCAATACCTCGGTGGGGAGAGTGGAGAAAGTCAGAAAAATATACAAAGCACTGAAAGGCTGGGTAAGTGAAGGATGCCAGAGAGGAGAGGGGGAGGGCTTCATGAGGTTCTAGGCAAGCCCTGTGATGACGTCACCTCACATCCATAATGTTACAGCAGTCAGCACAGGCCTCCTGTCTTCCTATTGGTGAACACCGTGTCAGCCGACATCAGAAGATAATCATCATTGGCCAGGCAATTACAACTGGAGCAACTAACTAGCATCCACTGCTGTTAGCACAAACCTGGCAGGCTGCTGAAAGAGAAGGCCGACCCCAGCTGCCCTTCTCACTCAATGAATTTTATGTCGCCTTGCCTTACCAGTCACTACGTGATTTCGCTTCCTTGCTAGCAAAAGGAGCACTTACCCATTCAATAAGCGATTAGTGAAAATAACAGGTGAAGGCGAGATAGCTCATTTAGGGACAAAACGCCCTTTTTTCACTGTTGTAAAATCACAGGGCTTTCCAGTGTAAACTTGGAAGTCAAAAAGGCTACTGAGTAAAGCAGGCATTCTCCTCTACCTCTCCCTTCGTTTTCCGGGTACCATTACCTCAGGTATTTTTAACTTGACCTGTACTTTCACAAGGAGGTCTCAGGATGATTCTCTCTGTATTACTTTACATGTCAATGGCTTCTCTATTACACATGAAACTATCTGCTAGAAAATTAAAAAGGTCTGTGGTATTTACCCTGTGTTTATAACAATGAATGTAGGGTTAATCATTTGTTAAGGCAGCAATGAACCTGATAAGCTTGCCGCCGTTGTTAGTGTTTTTACAAACACCACTCCAAAACAAAATAAGGAGACTGTAACATTAATATGTAATAAGCTAATGAATATGGATTTTAAAATAGTATTTAATAAGCTACCCTCATTAAATAATACTAAGCAGTGCAGACAGCATACTGACACAACAGCATTCCTGGCCTTTCTCACAATTCTTCGAAAGACCACGTGGCTCAGTTTTGAGACAGAAGTTATTATAATTCTCTAAATTAATAAGCTTTGTTTGAGGCCATGTCTAAGACATCTTTAAGGACAAGTGCAAATGATTGCTCCAATGAGAGTAGATGCTTCAACATTGTGTTTTTCCTCCACAAGGTATTTCAAAGCATTTTGAAAAGGTGTGTCTTTGGTTTCCTAAACTTTCCCTGCCTCCAAGAGGGTTAGTAAGCCTTGGCCACAGAGCTCCCTACTCCTGTGAACACGGGAAACAAAAAATCTTTTTCTTACACACCTTGTTCAAGACTTTTTTGCTGTTGGGATTTTGGTGGAAGTGGTTTATAAAATGGGGCCCCCAGGATGTGGGGAGAAATGCACACACTGAGATAAAAGGAGAAAGGAAGACAAGTAAGGTCAGAAATATATGCAAGGAAAGAGTAACAGCCAGGAGGGCTTTTTGACTGCAATAAGCAAGCTAAGAACATAGGATCAACAAAGAAAAAGTCAAGAAAGGAAAAATCCCAGGATATGCCTGCGATGTAGTATTCAAAGGCAGGAGGAGGCCAAATATGTTAAACTTCAGGTATTAACAGGTAGTGCGGGCAATGCAATAGGCCCCAGGCCTCATTTTAACTCCCTGGATAAGCCTCTTCCCCAGCATCTACCATGTACAAAACGCACTCTTCAACGTGCTCCGAATGAGCCAAGAACCATGCCCTCAAGAGCTGACGGTCTGGTAGGAAGGAGGCACAGGCATACCTGTGACTATTCACGTGTACAAAGAAAAGCCAGAGGAGACGCTGCCAGAAGAAAGGTCTGCCAAGAGCTAGAAGCAAACAGTGCTGAGAGCTCAACAGGAGAAAATAACTTGGCGCATTTCTGCCGTTCTGCCTAGTCCTGCTGAGGGCCGGGCCCGGTCCGGCTCATTGTGTACTTGTGGAGTTGAACGGAGAGAAGAGGCGGGACCCGGTTACCTGGCCTCGGGGAAGAGGCAACCAGTAAACAGGAGGCAGAGGGGCTGGCGGAGCGCGCGCGGGGGCAGCCACCGCGGGGGACGCCGGCTCCGGAAAGGCAGGTCCAGTAAAGATGCAGCAAGTCGGAGCGGAGGCGCCCGGGGGAAGCGCCCACGGGGGAAGATCGTGGGCTCGAGCGGCGTGGCGGGGAGCCCGGCGCACCGCGGCAGAGGAGCCGCTCCGCGGGCCCGCAGCCTCCAGCCCCCGCCCCCGCCCCGCCTTCGGCGCCACCCCCTACGCGGGAGGAGGAAGGGGCTCCGGGGCAGGTCCCCGGGCCGCTCGGGCCCAGCGGGGTCGGCCTCCTCCGGAGCCAGGGCCGCGCAAGGTCTGCACGCGCGCCGGACCCTCCCCCGGCGCTCCCTGGCCTCGCGCCCCGAGTGGCTGCCGCACTTCCTGGGCTTCGGAGCGGGTCGCGTCCCCGGCCGGCTTCCGGGGCTGGCCCCACGCGGCCCCGCGCCCGGTGCGGCCCCCCGGCCAGCCGCAGCGGGTGTGAGCACGCCGGGCCCTGCACGCCCGCCCCCAGCAGGCCCGGCCCAGCGGGCGCAGAGGGCGGGCTCCGCCCGGCTGCAGCCGCGAACGGCCAGCGGGCCTCGGGCGGGAGGAGGCAGGCAGCGCGGCCAAGGCTCCCCGGGCCAGGCGCAACTCCTGGGGACCCGAGGAAAGGAAGTTGGACCTCCCCCCACCAGCTCCGGCCCGCCGCGCCCCCTCCTACTGCACCGCGTCCAGCCCCGGCCCCCCGCGGCCGGCGTCTTTGGTTTCCCATTGACGAGATGGGGGAGGGAGGGAGGGCGGTCGTGACGGCGCGGGGCCCGCGCTCGCGCACGCGGCGGCGGGCGGGACCCCTCGGCGCCCGAGAGCCCCTCCGCGCGGGCCCCCGGGAGGCTGCGGGCCGCCGCCCGGCTCCGGGGCGCCTGGAGCTTGCACGTTATTGCCCGCCAGACCCAGGCTCAGGCAGAGGGAGGACCGGAATGTCTGCAGCTCGCTCTACAAGGAAGAGGCGAGATGAGCACACCCTCCTCCCCTGCTCGACACTGCAAGGTGACACAGGCTCGCCTCCCACACGGGGATTTTCAAAAGGACTGGCGGAGAGAACACAGTAAACAGGCAAACTCTCTCCCTCCCTATTAGAGGTCTGTCCGGGGAAGAGCCCCCAAGGGCTCTGCGGACCGAGGGGTTTTTAACCTGTGTCTCAGCTCCGATCAACAGCTTCCTACTGAACTAGAACGGAGTGTGTCCAAAAGGCGTTTCCGTAAAACAAACTTAAATAATGGCGTGGCTCCCTGCACTCGCTCGGGTTCATTCATTTTTATTACTGTTTTCATCGTCCCCTCCCCTCCCCTCCCCCCACCCGCCCGCCACCCCCGCCTCTTAATGAAACCGGAAAGGGATCCGCGTGGGGAAAGGGGTCCAGGAAAGGAGAAATCCGGCCGGGGAGCAGCAGAGAGTGGGGCAGGCGGAGAAGGAGGAGGGCTGCAAGGAGAAAGGAAGGACACGAGGGATGGGGAGAGGGCGAGGGCCAGAGAGCGCGGGCAGGAGAGGGTTAAACGGAACAGAGGACCGGGTTCCTTCCACGACTGCCTTTCACACTCAGTTTGCGGGAAGCCAAGCAAGAAAACGCAAATCTAGGTGAAAACCAGGAGGGAGGGCGCCCAGGTAGGGAGCCTGAACTGTGGCATCTCTCCCGCCTTCCGTGTCGCGCGGACACCTACTCTGTATATTCACGTATGTAACATGTTATATAATCCGTGTTAAAGATGCGTGTGTGGCCACGGGTCGCCCGGGGGCACTCGGAGACCCGCGCGCTCCCTGCGGCCCCGGCGGTTCCCGCACCCCGGGAGACCGGGAACTCGGCGACCAGCTCCCCGCTGCCCGCGATTCGTCGCCGCGTTCACGCCCCAGACAGAAAACCCCGACATGAAGGCACACGGGGGAGGCGCGCAGGGCTCCCGGGGAGAGGATCACGCGAAAGCATCACCTACCAGTTTTCCTGCATCCATTGGATGGCTTCGTTCTCGTTGAACTGCTTTTCGAATTCATATTCTTGTAAAGCCAACACTGACATGTTCATTGGGGCTGATCTTCGGAGTCGCTACGTGTTCTCTACACAAAATAAAATAATCTGTAAAGCGCTAGATTTCGGGTGCTCTCCTGTCTGCTTTCCCCACCCACCCCCCTCGGTCTTGCCCTCGCCGCTGGCTCTCCGGGGGCCGGCCTCGCCCAGCCTCTCTCAGCTACATCCAGGGGCGAGCATTGCCTGTGCAGCCGCGGCTCCCAGCTCCTGGCTCCGGGGCTCTCCTCCTCCCGGCGTCCGCATCCACCGTCGGAGGAAATGAACGCCTTGCGGTCTTAGTGCCCGCACGTTTGTCCATCACCCTTTTTACTTGTCTACGGGGAAATCTCCTCCCCCTCGTGCGATCGGAAAATTAACCCTTTGCGAGGGAGAGCGAGACCTCTCGCCCTGAGGGGCAGTTTTGCTGACGTGAAGGTGACTAGGGGAATGGAGGAAGGGCGCCGAAAAGGAGGAAGTGGCCTCGAGGTCACCCCCCACCCCCCGACCCAACCTCGAGGGCAGCCTAGCCTTGCCTCGGGATGTAGTTTCGGCTTGCGGGGCGCAGCCCCTCGCACGCGGACCGGCGAGCTTGCCCAGCGGGCGAGAAGGAAACGGCCAAACCTGCCAGCTCTCTCGCCAGGACGGCTCCGGGCAAATTTGCGCCGAGGTCACTCGTGAAAGGAACGCGGTCCCCGCCTCCTCGCCCCCCGCGGTACTCTGGGGGGGGGGGTCCCCGCCCCAGAGCGAGGGCTTTGACTCACGCACACCCGAGGCCCGGCAGCCCCCAGGGCTCCTCAGTCACTCGCGGGCTGGGGATGCTGAGGATGAGGAGGTGGAGGGTGGAGAGCGACCAGTGGCCGGAAGAGAGACGGAGAGAGAGGATAGGTGGACGGTTTGGGTCCCCAGGAGGTTAGAGTCGATGAACTGAGACAAAGACGGGGAAGGAGTTAACAGAGAGAACTCGACCCACTGGTCCAATGCAAAAACTTTATTCATATGCACGAGAAATCCCGTCTTACATTCTATATTTCACGGGTAGGTGGAAGAGAGTCATGTTGAGGAGGAGGCTAAATGTAATGTTGACCCCCTACTGAACCCCCAGCCTCCTAGCACTGTCCTAAACTCAGCTTCTGTCTACACTCCTCTGTCTTCTTAGGAGGAAAGGGATTTTCCACTCATTAGCCACAGGTTCAGAAAAGGACTTGTAGGAGACCTGGAGGTATCTAATAATCCATCTATGGCTGTAACTGTAAGCTTAACATATGTTAAGGAACCTAGGCTTTAAAAATTAGGTGGATATTAGGGTCAAGAAGAAAAATCCCTTCCCTCACCTGTAGTTCCAGAAGAGGGTATTTTCATTCAGAATTAGGTTGCCTGGAACCTCTGAGCAGTGGGAACTGGAAGAAATATCTCTATAAAGGAGGAAGGTATAATAAGACATGAAGGACAGGGTTTATAGAATCCAGGCAATATTGCATAAATCAAAGGGCTAGGCTAGTTGATGATTAGAAAATTAATTTATAAGTTGATCTTCCTAAAGATTTCATGTATAGGCTTTCCTTGTCTCTCCCTTTAAGGGTGTCATTCTAAATACTTCTGCAGTACAAGTCAGAATGAATTTAAAAATAAAGCCCAGGGATCCCTGGGTGGCTCAGCGGTTTGGCACCTGCCTTCCGCCCAGGGTGTGATCCTGGAGTCCTGGGATCAAGTCCCACATCAGGCTCCCTGCATGGAGCCTGCTTCTTCCTCTGCCTGTGTCTCTGCCTCTCTCTCTCTCTCTCTCTCTCTCTCTCTCTCTCTCTCTCTCTGTGTGTGTGTGTGTGTGTGTGTCTCATGAATAAATAAATAAAATCTTAAAAATAAATAAATAAAGCCCAGGACAGAGGCTTGGGGATAATTGACCCAGAAGATGGGTGTGGTCTGGTGAGAGATAAAGATTTTACTACAGCACCTGGGCCTGTGAACAATCAATAAATATTTGTAGGCTGAATGAATGATTAAATAAATGAAAGAAAGGAGGGAAGTGAGAAAGAAATGTAGTGAACCTTTTACAGTATATTGCAAGGGTATTTTCTTTAAAAAAATTTTGATTTTCAGGGCACCTGGGTGGCTCAGTGGTTTGGCATTTGCCTTCAGCTCGGGCCTGATCCCAGGGTCCTAGGATCCAGTCCCACATCTGGCTTGCTTCTCCCTCTGCTTATGTCTCTGCCTCTCTCTCTGTGTCTCTCACGAATAAATAAATAAAATCTTAAAAAAAAAAAAAGATTTGATTTTCAAATTCAGTGCTCTTACTAGTCATCACAACAATTTCAAAACAGTATGAAAAATTCTCATTTACTATGTTTCTTACTCAAATAATGTTATTGCCTGTTTTTCAAAGATAGATATGAGGTCAATTAAAATATCTGATTTGTTCTTAACAGTATCTAAAGAAAAATTACTCCGCAGTAGGGTATAAGTCCCTATTTTTTACTTTTAAAATGGACAATTACAAAAAATGGTAAATACTTGGTAGTACCATGTGCTTTCAAGCCATTTTTGGTCATTTTAAACTCATTTACCCTCTCACCATTTATTCACCAGCTATTCCTTGAGCCTGTGCTCTTCTGAGCTCTTGTGACTCTGTGGAAAAGAGATAGGGCTCTGAGCTCTTTTGGAGCTCACATCACAGAGGGCAAGACAAAATAATTTCATATAGAGTGAAATGCTAACATGAAATCAGGGGTGCCTGGGTGGCCTAGTCGGTTAAGCCTCGGACTCTTGGTTTTGACTCAAGTAGTGATCTCAGGATCATGAGATCCAGGCCCCAAATGGGATTCTGTGTTTAGCAGAGTCTGCTTAGGACTGTCTCTCTCTCCCTCTGCTCCTTCCCTATGTTCCCCTTTACTCCTGCCACAGGCACGTGCATGCGCACACCAGTTTGCTCTCTCTCTCAAAAAGAAATAAATCTTTTTAAAAATAAGTAAATAAAAATCAGTATGATGTGAAGGGGTAAAAGTCATGATTTAAGCCCTTTAGGCCTCACAGAGTAAATGACTTTGATTTGAAACCTTTTGCAGAAAGTTACTAGAAGCAAGAGCAAGTACAAAAGCCCTGGGGTAAGAAAGGGCAAAAGGCTGCTGTGACCCCAGGTGTAATAAAGAGTAACTGACAGGTTAGAGAGACAGGCAAGCTAGGTCTTAGCAACTTGGTAATCAAGATAAGATAGTTGGATTTGATTCTACCTTCAGCAGGGTGGGGGAGTATTGAAGGGTGTTTAGCTTGGCAATATTGCATGATAATTCCTAGTAATTCTACTACAACTAGGAACTTATTCTGAAGGCAGACTTGCAAAAACATTTTAGATGTAACAAAACAAAACAAAAAACATTCTAGATGTATGTATAAGATATTGTTTAGCACTGTTTGTAATAATAAAACACTGAAATAATGGGGGCTGGTTAACTAAAGGATAACATATCCTTATAATGGTATATTATAAAGCTTTGTTAAATAAAATGGTTCTGTAGGTTGTAATATTGAAAGTTTCCAGATATATCTTTAAGGAAAATTAAAAAGCAAAGTATAATACATTGTGTATAGTGTTAACATCAAGAAAAGCATCTACTAGGCAGCCCAGGTGGCTCGGCGCTTTAGCGCCGCCTTCAGCCCAGGGCTTGATCCTGGAGACCCAGAATCGAGTCCCACATCGGGTTCCCTGCATGGAGCCTACTTCTCCCTCTGCCTGTGTCTCTGTCTCTGTGTGTGTCTCTCATGAATAAACAAATAAAATCTTTAAAAAAAAAAAAAAAAAGAAAAAGAAAACAAAAGCATCTACAATTGCATGTATGTTTTTTTCTGGAAAGACAAATAAGAGTCTGTTGGTGATGCATGCTTGGAGAAAGACCTGGGAGCAAACTAAAGAGATTCCCTACTTACTATTTATACAATTTATTTTTCTGAGGTATTTGAATTTTCTTATGATGTATTTGTATTTCATTTAAAGAAAAGTCATTGGGAATTAGAGTAGTGAGATAGCATTCTATTTTTAATTTTCTATATTGAAATATTTCATATGTAGCTTATTATTAGAAATAAAACATTCTACATGGTGACTTTTCTATTTTAGGGGCTATAGACAGTTGGGAAAGATGGAGGGGAAGGTTGGTTGGGAGGGTGCCCAGCAACACCACTAGGAATCTTTATGAAAAGATTTATTGTAGGTGTTTCTGACCCATAACCAGATAGGTAATTATTATTGAATATAAATAACTGAGCTCAAAAATTAACAGTTAATTGATATTTAGTAGTAAAATTGTTAAAAATTAGGCCAGAGAGTAAGGAGTATTTAAAAGACAGAAATTTACTGCAAAGATGACTTAATTACTAAGCAAAAGATTTGGATTTTAGTACTAACTTTATTTCAAACCCAAATATCAGATCTTAGGTAAAGGAAATCGATCCTTTGATTTCTATATGTAAAATAACAGTACTAAGCTGGATGATCTTGATACCATCTCAAATTTCTCTGGCACAGAAATCATATGTTAAAATATACTCATTGTTTCTGGGCCTTACTGGAGTAACCTACTTTTCTAGAACTCTATTCCATAGGTAGAATTTAACCAAGCTGAATCATTTAAGATCCTCTGAACATCTTAAGTTTGGACACTTTTTCTCCTATAATTCCCTCTACTCAAAATACCATTCCATCACAAACTTTCCATTTCTATCGAATTCAGTCCATGCTTTAGATATTCACAAACTACCCCATACTTGAGGCCTTTCCTGCTGACAGGGATCATCTTTCACTCTCTTGCCAGCTCTGCTCTTGTTTTATTTTATTTTATTTTATTTTATTTTATTTTATTTTATTTTATTTTATTAAATAAAGGGCCTACCAGAAATCCTTCTGTTTTGTTTTGGGTTTTGTTTTGTTTTTTTTTGTTTGTTTGTTTTTGTTTTTGTTTGTTTTTTTTTTTATTCATGAGAGACAGAGAGGGAGAGAGAGGCAGACACAGGCAGAGGGAGAAGCAGGCTTCATGCAGGGAGCCAGATGTGGGACTCGATCCTGGGACTCGATCCTGGGACTCCAGGATCACACCCTGGGCCGAAGGCAGGAGCTCAACTGCTAAGCCACCCAGGGATCCCCCCAGCTCTGCTCTTCAAACCCTTGTTAGCTCTTGTTAAGGCCTTGCCTGAGCCATCCACTTCCATGTAGATTATAAATTTCCTTAAGGGCAGGGACGATGATTTTTTTTATTGTATTAATTTGCTAGAACTGCTGTAACAAATTACCACAAACCAACACATCTTCCCAGAGTTGCATA